GCTTCTGGCTTTCCTGTTTTTGTTACAGATTGCTATTGCTTTGGTTTAACTTGTTTAGTTCTCTGGACTTGCGCACCAACTATCCACTTAACCACTCACTCTCAAGACACAACCTGTGTTTGGCACTGGACCACAGCAGAGAATGAGCAAAAGCCTCCACCTTTCCTGGCCAGCATTCCAGGGGCAAGAGGAGGAGAACAAGCAGATGAAAGAGAAACACAGCAGGCAGTTGTTAGGCAAGGGTTAAAGCAGGGCCATGCAAGAGAAGGCATCACTATTTTGTGTAGGGTGCTGTCAGAAAGATCTCTAAGAGGGTGTGAGGCTTCAATTTATGCCCAAATGTGAAGAATAAGCAAGGCACATTCTGTTGTTTTGGGGACTGGGTGTGCCAGAAATAATGGCTCTGAGTCTAAACAGGGACAGAATTCATACACAGTTTGACATTTTTACACTACTGTCATTTCTCACTCAGGAACACAGATCTCTTTCCTGATGGCTTCTGGTTAAAATTTAGAATTTTATGTAGGGATTGTGTGTGTCAGTTTCCTAAGGTTACCATAGTAAGGTTTCACACTGTATGTCTTACAGCAGACGTTCATTCTTACTGGTTAGGAAGCTACAAGTCGAGTAGGCCGTGCTCTCTGAATGCTCCAAGTTGTCCTTTACGAAGCATCTTGTGGCCCCAGCAACCCATGGCTTGCAACTGCATCAGTCCAACCTTTGCTTCCAACTTTACAGTCCTGTACATCTGGTCTCCACGTCTCCCTCTCTTTAAAAAGACATGCCATTGGATTTAGGAACCACCCAAATCCAATATGTCCTATCTTAATTCCATCTGCAAAGATCATTATTTCTAAAAAAGTTCCTATCTGTCAATTTTGGGTTGGGATGAATACTGAATGGCATCCAAACTGCTGTAGCATGTCTGATAGGCTCACTGCCACTATCTGTGGCAGTGCATGGCCATATACCAAAGTGATGAAAAATAAGCTCTGGAATCAAGCTTCTTGGCTTTATGACTTACCAGATATTGAACCTTTCTAAGCCTCATCCAGGAATAACAGCAGCAGCTACCGCATGAAATTGTAATAAGGACTACAATAACACAGCCTAAAACAGTTGTGCGGGACACATCGTAAGCACTTGAGCAACGGAGTTCTTAGCATGTCATACGATTTGTTGCTATTTGAATGGCATCTTTTATGTTCATTAGTTATCGCTGGCCAATTGGAAAGCTGTCAATTTTTAATAGTGATACTGTAACCATCTTATTAGTCTACTGACTTTCTAGTTGTTTTTCCTAGATTTTGTTGGTGGCAATCACATCAGCTTCAAAGTACTCAAAACAATCACTGTAAAACCCATGAATGCCCACAAGAAATGGCATTTGAAAAGCACTTTGTAATCATTTCTATCAGAGACAGGCTCAGATATTCTGCTTATCTGTGCCAGATGAGAATGTGTCTACTTTCATTAATGTCATGTCAGAACCACTGATCCAGCCCCATTGTAGCGTTTTTGTTTTTCCTTTCCAGTATTAGGGGTTGAGCCTCAGGCCTCACAGTTACCTATAGTGTAGGTACTCAGTGACAAAATGATTGATATGGCAAGGTGTGATTCTTCTTTGTTGTGTGGTGAAATAGTGACCATGAATTTGCTAGTTCTTTCCTGATAATCCCTCAGGGGCACATAGCACCCACCCTTTTTTGCTTGTGGGCATGAAGAAAGGTACCGTATTTCCTACCTTGTTATTCACTGAGCACTGGAGTCACATTTGGCAGAGTCTGATGAACAGTAAAACCCACTTCAACACTTGAGCAGTATCTCAATGGTATCAAAATCTGTTCCATGCCAAGGCCTGATACAAAGGGCTTTTGGGAGTAAAGCTTGAGTCAGATTGATTGGCTTGGGAGTACTGAGGGGATTAGTGAAGCACACTTCTGGGTCAGAGAAGATGATCTTGGGTACCTTTATCTGTTCCCTCTCCCCTTCCTGACACGTTCCTTTTTCTCTCAGCTGCCATGACCTAAACATCTGCTGTCACACCCTTCTACCATGTTATGTCTTGAAAGCAGCTAACCACGGACTGAGAGCTAAATCAAGCTTTTTCTGTTTTAGGTTGTGGGTATATTGTGTCCTAGCCATGGGAAAGATAATACAGAAAATGGGTACCAGGAGTGGGGTTGTAGCTATGACTGCCTGACCATGTTTCAGGAGCCTTTGGAACTAGTTTATGCGAAGTTAAGAAGTTTGGAGATGTGGGCTAGAAAAGGCTTAGAATGCTGTAAGCAGAGCCTGATGGGTGATTCTGGTTAGAATTCAGAAAAGCAAACTGTAGACAGAAATGCACAGTAAAGGCCAAGGCCAGAAGATTCCAGTTGGGAACAAAGTCTCTACTGGCCACGGGACTAGAGGTCATGTGTGTTAACACTCTAGAAAAAAAAAAATGTTGTCTACATTTCTCCCATGTCCTGAGACTCTGTGGGAGACTGAGATTAAGGTCAGTGGATAAAGTGACCTGAGAGAGGAAATTTCAAGGCACCCTAACACAGGCTGTGTCATGGATACTGGTTTTATCCAATTTATCGGATTGCTTGCGCTGGCAGAAAAACTTGGCACCATCCTCATGATGGGGGCTTTACCAGATTCCAACATACAAGAGTTGCATGGTCATGGAGGTTTCCACTCAGTTATCAAAGGTCTAGAAAGCCAGGCAAGGAACACTCAAGAGGGCGATGTGTGAAGTTGTGGGAATGAAACCAAATGTGCAGTAGAAACCCTGAGAAGTTGGAGAAGCCATGCAGACTGCAAAAAGAAAGACACAGGACTACCCAATCCCCTTGGAACACTCATCTTAATACAATTTACCCTGGATACAGGACATGGAGCTACAAGAGTTAATGTTTGCTCTGCTGGGTTTTGGTCTGCCCTTGGTTGGATTCTTTTCAATTCCCTTTCTCCTTCCTTTTGAGATTGAAATGAAGTGGTTAGCCTTGAGTCTCAGATCTGACCTGGATTTTTTTTTTTTTTTTTTTTTTAAATGCTGGAACTGTTGAGACTTTGGAGATTATTGCACTTGTTCTTGAGGGTACCCAGCATGTTAAGCAGAATCATTCACTTGCTTTTTATTTGGAAATTAAATGTAGTTTAAGATGTGTTTGGGTGTCAAGTAGACAGGGATGGAATTTAATAGCTAAAGCTTTATTGTGTCAAACCAAGTGGCTTGGGGAGTTGCTAGGGGATTAGTAGAGCAAAATTCTGGGGATATCTAGGTGGGTCATGGAGGCACCACTAGGAGCAGCGTATCTGGTCCCTTTCCCCTTCCTCTCTGGTGCTGTTACCCTGCTCTGCTTTGTAGCCACCATGAACTAAGCATCTTTGCTGTGCCACACTCTTACTCTAAGATGTTTCTGCTTTGGAAAAAGCTGACCATGGACTGAATTCCCTGAAACCATGAGCCAAATTAAACCTCTTCAAGTTGTGTCCCAGTGATTGGAAAGCTAATACATGGCGCGTCCTAACACTACCTTTGACCATCTTTCTCCTTTCAGCATTTCTACTCAACCAGACACTTTGAACAAGTTGTCCTATGCTACCACACTACTCCATTTCTTCCATTAAAATTTAACCAAAAACTGAAGTCTGATACTATTATGCTTCTTCACTGACTACATCACTAGAATGTTTGCTAAGAAAGCAAAAACCTTGCTTATTTCTCTGGTATCAATCCCCAACACTCAACAGATAATGTGTAGCACAAGGCATGCCAATAATTTGTTTGAAGGTACATTTCTGCTAAACCCTTTGCTGTACTTTACTCGTTATGAAACAAATACATGAATTCTTGATAATACTCTAGAACAAGAATTTTTGTTTATTCTTTTACACTTTTGAGGCCACCACTTAGTACTGGATGCTGCAGAGGATAGCTGAAGGGGACTAGTAAGCATTTGAGATCCTAGATGCTTTGATACTTTTTTTTTTCCTTCCCAAATTCTGTATTTATTTTTTATTACAAGGGTGAATAAAACTATTATGTTTTAAGACTGCTCCTGGAAATCCCAGAATAACTAAATCATAGAATAATTGAATATCCACAATTCGAAGGATCTTAGGATAGAGTGCAACAGATTTCTTTGTTTTAATGATGAAGCAACTCTTGAGTCCAGCAAAGCTTTGAGACTTGCCAGACCGTATGTTCACTGAGTCTTGCTAAGGACTCCTACTTGGCTGTCTGAACCTGTGCAACCATCTTTTTACCACTTGTTCCCCAAATAGTATTCTTTTCCTCGGAGTGGACACCAACTCTCTGGAGGGGAAAAGGTGGGAATCCTAGAAGTGGATATTTCCCATACTCCTCTTCCAAGGCTGGGCTTTCTGAGTGCTCTTCTGCTGGAATGAGAGGAAGAGGCATCAACTGGAGGTGAAGAGCAATGACACATCACTCTTTGAAAGCCTCACTGGGGTGGACTCACATAACCAATTCTACAGTGCTGAGACTTTTTTATCTGCTAAAGTAGACAACAACTCGGAAGTTAGATCCAATAAAGCCCATTTGAGGACAAGCTGAACTTTTAGTTGCATCAGAAGATCCAGGTAAAAGATTATCAACAATGGCTACCAATGCCACCCTCCTCTAGGGAGACTCTAAAGAGGACAACTTAACTTCTCCAGGGAAACTGAGGTTTGTACTTGTCTTTTACCAGGTCCCACCTTCCAAATGTATGCAGTCTCCAACAGTCAGGATGCAAGAATGAACAAGCAGGGTCTGTTCAGAATGACAGCACAGCAGCGAGAAGGTAACAAACTAGAGTACCTCTGACAGACAAGTTCGCTGAGAGGCCCAAGCAGGTGAATTTGTCCGAAGTTACCAAGTAAGTTAACTTTAGTCTGAGACTAAAACCCAAGTATCTGTTGTAACTCAGATCAATACCAACATTAACAAAATGTTACACGTAAGCTCATTACATTTAGTATTTTTGTCCAAAACTGTATTTATTTTGGAATGACATACTTTTACCCCACATTTGAAATAATTTATTTATATAAACAAAAGTTCTTAAAAGAAATAAAGCCCCCTACCCCAAACCAAATCACTAAGGATACAAGATGGTCTCTTGAGACCTGTAAAATCTGAATGCCTTTTGATCAGACACCATGTTTGAGTCCATTTCTGTAAAAGGTTCATTCTACAAAGATCTATAAATAACACACAGTTGTCAGGGCAGATCCTCCTCACCTGGACACTTGCAGCCAACATGCAGATTTGCGGTAACGTACAGTCAGAATCTAATGATTCTTTCACTCAACAATAAAAGTAGATGATTTTGGTATGGATCACTGAACTCCTGAAGGAAGTTTCTAATGGAAAGCAGCACAAAGAAACCTTTCTACCACAGAAACTTAATAAGAAAATCTGGAAGGAAAATTGGAAGTCAGGATGAAGTGCGTTATCACCAGCTGTGCCAATGCAAGTGCACTCATGACTGGGCCTGCCTGGCACCTACTGGAGTGATCTGCTTTTAGGTACAAGTTTTCTAGTAAGGCCCTGCACTCAGTAACAGCAAAGCATTACCTTAATGAAGTTGCCAGTGGGACATCCCCTGAAGTCCACATAGCTTAAAATAAGGAGCACAAGTGAACCACAGAGTAAGGGCATGTTTCTTATTTCCTTTTTTTTTTTTTCAACCAGGAGCTCCCTATGGTTGGCTTTTCAGAAAATAATCCACGCTTATAAGATCCATCTGATGTAAGTCTTGAAATGCTAGCTACAGTAGTTCAGGGCAAGAGTGATTTAGGATAAAACAAGAGCATCCCATAAAGGTGATGTGCTCTATTAGGTTGCTATCACATTAACTACCTGGACTGAGTAAAGTTTCTAAGCAGGTCTCATACTGTTTCAATCACTCACGACTCACATGGCTAATATATTTCTTTCATTGCTCTTATAAAGAATTAGTTCATTGGCACCCACACAACTTGTTTTATCTTAACATAACTCAAAAATGTGGCAGGAAGGCAAGCACTGTTTGTTCTATGTATTCATTTAACACTTACTAAATACCTGTAATGAACCAAGAATATTTTCTAGAAATTCAATGTCATAAAATATGGCCCCAGGGGAGAGGTTACCTAAACAGAAGGAAAAGTCAAAACCGCTCACTCCCTAACTTCTGCCTTGCAGCAAAGCAGTGAGCTCTCCAGAACCAGGGAAAGGGTAAAGTGGAGACACGCCCCTCCAAAGACCAAGAGAAAGAAGGCAGGAAAGCCGGTCCAGTCTGGAGGAACGGATGGTTCCAGGCCAAGGCTGAGGCCCAGGACCCCTTCCTGCATTTCCAGGCTTCACAGACCCTCCCCTTCACACCCACTTTGTCCCCTGCTTCTGACTTCCTTCCCTTTCCCAGTTAAAAAAGCAAACAAAATTCTTCAGGATGTCTATTGTTGTCCCAATGACTTTATTTGTTGTTTAAGTCAAATCTAAAATTAAAGTTAACAAATTATGAAGTTTTCTTCATTCTTCATTAATAACAAAAAATTATCCATTCAAAAACTACACTAAGACAATGTGCTCCTAAACAGCCATCCAGTTTTAACTGAAGGGCGTTTAATCACTTTGCAAACAAATTGTAGTCACTACGATTTATCACTAAGTACTGTACTGGTTTTGTATTTTTGTTTTTGTTTTTTTTTTCTTTTGGCAAATAGAACAAAGCAGAGAACAAAAAATGTTGCCTTCATCATCATATATATAGAAAAATAAAATAAACCTAAGAGATCTATCTATATGTCAAGTGATTCAACTGTAGAGGCAAAACTAAAACCTATACTTACAGTAGTTTTTAAAATCCTTAGTGCAAGAAACATAACCAATTAATACAGATCAATAGTAATTAATGAATAAGGAAAAATTTCCTATACAGAGGTAGAGTCCAGTGCACAAGGCTAAAACAATGTTCAATAGTCTAAACAAGACTGAACCAGGTTATACGGAATCCACTTTAAATTTCATGTATTAAACTGTATGTACATACATACAATAAATAGACTATACAATTTTTAAAAGTAGTTTAATAAACTCCACAAAATAATAGCAGATGCATTGAAATATTTACATAATTCAATTTTCAAATCTCTCATTCAAATAAAAGGGATAAAAATAAGATTTCTGCTCTAAAGTCAGCAGAACCTCTTTCCTGAAATGGATCGATAAAATAATATATTTTACATGAGAGGAATGAATTTATGTCTAAGAGGTATTCATATTTGGCTAAGAAAATATGTCCCTTTTTGAGTTATATAGATTAGGGAATATAAAATGATACTTTCTACATTTTTAGATCTCTATTTAATAAAGTTCTAAATGCAACTCTTACTTGAAGAGAGAAGCTGATTTGGTTCCCAAAGTAAATCACAATTGGAAGGTAATTTTCATTTTCTGCTGTCTGCATTTGAAAGTGTAGGCCAGAAAGAATTTGGCCATTTTTCAGCCCAAATAATTATTAACATACATTCCACTGAAACTGACTTTTGGCTTGGTGCTCTTGGGATTTTGACTTTCTGAGTCTCTTCCATTTCCAAAGCATCCTTCACTTTGAGGAGGCAAGGTGGGGATCAGGTGTATGCCTTTAGGTACCCAACACTAATTAACAGAATTCTAAAGTTTTCCGAGCTCACAAAGAAAGACAGTGAAACACACAGACTGCTGTTATTTGCCTCAAATTTGAAAAGGGCAAATACTCAGAAACCTCAGTTACTGTGGTCTAGGAAAATAAGTAAAAACCCAAAGCATTATCTGTGTAAATGACTCAGATTCTTAGATTCCACACCAAATTTGCTATTGTATCTTTAATTCTTTTATTTTACCTGATATAAAATATTCTTATATCTAGCTCATAAGAAAATCAGGAATAGTCAAAAAATGAAAAGGCATGGTCATAATTAATGAAGCATAAACCTTCACAGTTTGGATTTTGTATCTCCTCTAAGCACCCACAATGAAAATGCAAGTTGTTTTTATTCAATCAATCTGTGAAAAATACCTCAGTAAATAGTAACATTTCCCTGTGAGTGATCTTCCCACTGGAATATCCCCCCCTCTTTTAGTTTTAAATTTTTAAAAAAATTTTATACAAATAGACGAACTTCGATTTAGAGTAAACATATAAAAATTGAGAAGAATATTGCTTGCAACGATGGAGGTGGTAGTAGAAGGACGAACTAGACAGGAGAAATGCTTCCACATGGTGACTCTGGCACAGGCTCCCTGGCTCAGTCTCAGCCCAGGGAATCCCTTTGCTACACACTGTTTCCTTCAGCCCACAAAGCCGGACTGATCTGTAACCACAACTGGGGGTGGTATAGAAATAATAACAACAAAAACAGCTATGGTAAGAAAATTGGAAGGCACAAGCACCCATGTGAATTAGAATTTTCTTGGCATGAGGAGTAAGAAGAGAAAGGGATAGTTTTGGTTCAACACTACAGTCAAGTTCATTTTGCCACTGTTGAAGAAAAACCATATACAGTACAATAAAGATGTACAGAAATGTAAGAAGCACATCCCACTTGTGAAGAAAGCTCAGAAGACACCTCACAAAAATAGTGCAGAAAGAAAACCAGTACTATTTATTTGGATGTCTGTGCCATAATGAGTACAAACTATATTCTCTGCTCTGTGGGACCAAAACAGAGTAAAAATAAAATCCCTTAAATCCCTCCAAAAAAGCAGCGAGAAGGAATGCAAGAAGTCTTACAGAACACACCGATCCAATGGGGCAGTAAGCACGGCACTCCTGTCTTTATTGCACAGCCAACAGGCTACCTACTGGGTGCTTCCAAAGCATTCATCTCCTGATCGGATGGGACTTTTAAATGGCCAAGCCACTCAACCTCTTTCCCTCCTCCACACAACTTCCTTTCCCCGTGTTTCCTCCTTCAGGATGAGAGTCTGTTTTCTCCATTAAGGAAGTGCTGTTAATGGGGATGGGGAAAGGCGTGAAACAGGATTCCAAACACTGACTGCTTTCCTTGAAGCCTTGTTGTGTGCGGCCAATAGTGCGAGGTGGTGTGAAGGCTGCCTGACAGAGCTAAGAGTTAGAAAAAGAAAGGAAGAACAAAAACAAAACCACCCCAACGTTGTCTTTTCTCAAACCACAGGAGAACTGGAGGGGTGGTGCAGGCTCCAGTGGGGACACTACGTGGTTAGGAGATGATGGCTGGTGACCACCTCGGCAGAGTCAGATTGTCAGCACTCGCTGACCGCTTCCGTGAGGATCTTCTCAGGTCCTTGTACTTGTCCTCACAGAGGCGAGAGATGGCCTGGGAACAAGAGGAACAGTGCAGGTGAGGCAGGATCCCAGGCAGCCGTGAACAGTGGCCAGAGAGATCTGTGCTCTACCCCCAGTCACTGTGCAGGGGTCACTCGCCGCTGAGGCTGCAGAGCAGTGAGCCCAGACCCTCATCCACTTTTGCTTTTCCCCACCCTCTAACACACCGGCCACTTGGCAACTACCCTGATTGCCAGCAGATAGTCTACCTCCACCCAGTAGGCTGTTGTCCCACGGCCATTCTGTTTATGGTGGGCCTGGTATCTGTGTGCTGAGGGCCACAGGCTCAGCACAGCATATACCACAGGCCATGTTCAAGAGTGGACACAGAGGAAATGCACACCCACTGTCTTCGAGGGCCATCACAACCAAGGGTGATGTCAAAACCAGCTCTGCGGGCTTTGCCTGGAGGCGGCGGATCAGGGCATCCCAGCAGGGGCAGCAGAGCAGTAGGGTGCACCGGGCAGTGCAGAACTGCCTTTGATTTTAAGAGAGCACCCTAAAACTCCCAACTGTATTTGAGAAAAACAATTTGGGTTGTAGCATGGAAGACAGACTAGAGGAGAGAAACAGGAATCGAAGATGTCTTTGTCCAAATGAGAAGAGACAATCTGTTTCTTTAGGGACATTATAACTGTCATTTTTTTCAATTCATTTAATTTCCTGAGATTAACAGCTGTTGTTTCTCAGCTTACAGTATGAGATTGTATGCAATCCCATAAAAAGATGAAATGGTCTACCTCGGCCTATTACGTGAAGTGATGATGTCAGCTGTAACATCTCTCATGTGCAGAGACACCAGTTTACCTCCAAGACAAATAAATACCCCTGCCAGTGAGGAAGACACTCTGCAGTTGCCCTGGCTCTTGGTACCACTCTACAGTGCATCCAACAGATGAAGACGCGTGTGGCCGCAGATGTGACCAGGCAGAGAATTGTAGGTCAGGGCAGCTTCTTTTTGTCCTGGTGACCCCTCAACACCAAGCACAGCAAAATGATGCAGTTCTAAAAACCTCACTGGATTTTATCCCAGTGATAGGCACCCAGTCTGTTACTTTAGGAAAAAGATCTATGCAGTCAAACTTTTCTGGGTCCCCAACACTTAAGTTTATCTGGTAGCTTTTTCCTTAAAAATACAAACTGAGAAAATACTTTTATTGTGGGCTTATATGTTTAAAAATACTGTAAGGACAAGGGTTTTTAAAAATCTTTGACTTAAAAGTACAACCAATGAATATTAAGTAAAAACTCATTTTAAAAAGGCTATTGAAAATATAAAATTGTCCAAATTATAATCCCTAAATTAGGTGACTGGCAACAGATCCTGCCCCTTACCCTTACTTCACAGCACATTATGGGAGAAACGGTTGCAGTGGCCACACACACTGCGGGAATCAGATGGTGCTGCACAAGACACTCTTACCTCCAGCTTGTGGGCCCTCTCTCTGCTCAGGGGCTCTAAGGGAAAGCTCAGGTTGTTTGCTTCTGCCAGAGAACGAAGATCAAAATAATACTTGGCATATACACTGGAAGGGACGTTGATGTTGAACTGCAGCAATTCAAGAAACTGTCGCTCTAGCTCATTCCTGCAAAGCAAAAGCAAAAACAGCACACACTCAGTTGCCCCATCAGGCTGCGTGGCCAGCCAAGCTGCTGGAGACCAGACTCTAGAAAATCGCATCCTCCAGGGAGAAAAGTGATCTAATTAATTGCCTGGTTGAACACCAGAGATGTGGTTTAACCACCAAACTGGTATTAAAAGCCGAATCCACTTGATCTGGTGCCCAGGAGGATGAAGGCTGATTAATTGGGATGATTACCAGGAAGTGCTTCGGGGTGACTCATTTCACTGAGCCGTAACACACACACTCACAGCAGGCTCTGGCTGCACATCTCAGCATGAAAGTCGGCTCCCATGGCCTCTGCCTGGCCTTGCATGGTGGGGAAGATAAAGTCATCAAGAGCTGTCGGGAGGGCAAAGGCCTCAAGACATGCTCTGAGGAGAAAGCTCAGCCTTTGAAGGTGGTTTCTCAAGGGCCCCTTCCTGCCTCCTGGGAGGAGAACCAGCTTGGATGTTCCTGATAGGAAAGCTGCAGACACCCCAAGTAAAAAAGAAAAACCGGAGGGCATGGGCATTCATTACCTGGCTCGGCTGGCCTGGATGAGCCAGAGGCCACTGGACCCACACACTCAGAACCGGTCAACTAAGGAGCCCCATGAACAGAGGTGATACCAAGATCCATCTTGCCAATCCACTTACATTTTGATAAAAATGAATGACAGGTACCTGAAGAAATTTTTTAAATTCTACTTTGAGAATTTCCTCTATCAATTACCAGTCACATTAGAGGAAGTGTATTTCTCGAGAGTCACTGGGGGCAGGGTACACTGACATATCTATTCCTTGAGTGCTGGCCCTGGGCCACCTCCCCCGGGAGCAGCTGGTCATGCCTGTTCCCATCACACACCAGGCACCTGCTCCCATCCTTCGTCACACGACACTGTAACTGCTGGCTTCAGTCTTTCCCACTTGTCTCCTCACAGTCAAGAATGGTGGCCTCTGATTTCACACGTCTGGCCCTGATTTTACATAGATGTGAGAGCTGAGCTGAGTTTAAGGGAAGATAGGGCTCTGGCGTGGAGGAAGCAGACTGGAAGCACGGGTACTTCCAGGTGGCCCTTTCAAACCACCTGTACCCTACACAAGAGGTCAGGACACGTGGTTCCTGTGTCCAGAAAGAGAGGCTGCGTCCCAAGAGCCAGGCCTCTGGCCTCCTGACTCAGAGCCCAGTCTCTGCACCCTAGCCATGCCCCAGGCTGCAATGAACATACACTCTGACTCTTTAGATCTCGAACTCTCCCAGTAACGTTGTCTCTCCGCGTGGTACAAAGTCCTATCTTACCGCTCCCGTGTTACCTCAGTGACAAATCAGAGACCATGGAGGCTATGCTCCAGGCTCAGGGACAGGTGCACAAGGCATTGGGGCAGGAGGTGGGATCTCAGTGAGGGCTGGGGCTTTAGGGAGGCAAAGGTATTAGGCAGACAATTATACAACTTTAACAAGCTGCTGGCAAAGGCCGGAATGAAGTCAGCTTTGGGTTTTTTGGGGGGTGGGTACTGGGGATCGTCCTTGTGCTTTTGAGGCAGGAGGCAAAACCACTGAGCTAAATCCCTGACCCAGCTTTGGGTATTTTAATTAGACAAACCACATATCTTGTTTACTTCTACATAGCTTAGGGAAAGGAGTTAAACTCCAAATGTATATATTGTGCTAAGCTTTATATTTTTAAGGAATTTTTATTTTGGATTTTTTTACTTTAACTTTTATTTATGCTTCACTTAAATGTGACCTTAATGCGAGGCTATCCTGCGAGACAATGGAATTACAATAAGGATTACAATAAGTGTAAAAAACATAGTTCTGCTAAGGCCAGAAGTAAAATAGAAACTGGGCTAGAAGAGTCAATTCCGTGGAAATGCCAGCTTCCTGTGTGTAGATCACCACCTGGTGGCTTGAAGGTGTCATTACAGAGTTGCTTCTGGGGCTAAGAAAATCCACTATTTCAAAAGAACTAGTTTGACAATCCTACCCAAAACGGCACGTGGACACCAACCACTTCAGCTGAAAATGCACAAGATAAGTGAAGTGAGGAGGAGGCTAGTTTTGAACAAGGTGGCATTTTCCCAGGGTTCCTTGAAAAAACCATCTTTCCTTTGGGCTTGTGCTTCTCGAATGTTTCCGGTTTAAATTCTGGAAATGGGCATTTGAGAGATACTATATTTTCCAATTAATGCAAGATTTTACAAAGTAAAGAACAATTTCATATATGTTTGATTCCTAAACTGTAGCAACCCTATAAGGGACATAAGCTTGCTTGCTGTGTGATAAATGAAAAGACAACACGGATAAAGAATGAGCTTGCTGTTTGGATAACTACAAGATAACAGTTCCAATTGTAAACATTTATAAGAAACATATTCCAGGCAATGAGTAAAACAGGTAATTCCGAAGTAATTGTTACATCAGCTTGATAAGTCAGAAACCCAGCTGAGCTGGTGGAATACAGAAACTTGAAATAGGGCTCTAACATGGAGTAGAAAGTCGTTTTCACCATCAAAGCCCTGCTGTCTCTTCCTAGAAAACTGGGTTCACTGCCAAAGGGAGGAGCCAATCCAGAGATCCCACTCCACTCCAGGTGTATATAAAAACTAAAATCAGGCTGTTAACGCAGAATCTGCACAGCCACGTTCATGGTATCACTGTTCACAGTAGCTCAGTGTAGAACAACATTTACTGTCCATCTGCAGATAAAGGAAAACCAAATGGGATGTGTTTATAAAATGGAGTACTAGTCAGTCTGGAAAAGGAGATGATAATATGTACTACAACACAGATGGACCTTGAGGACATTATGCCAAGTTTCTGAAATAATGCACTCTTGAAAAGATAAATACTGTATGACTCTACTTACGTGAGGTACATAGAGTAGTCAAATTAAAGACAAAGTAGAATGGTGGATGCCAAAGCTGGGCACGGAGGAAAGGGAGTTAGTGTTAGACACAGTTTTTCAGTTTGGGCAAATTAAAAAGTTCTGGAGACTGACAGTAGTGATGGTTGAACAACACTGTGAATGTTTAATGCCACTGAACTACACACTTAAAAATGGTTAAAATGGGGGCCAGGGATTTAGCTCAGCGGTGCCACGCCTGCCTCCCAAGTGCAAGGTCCCAAGTTTGGTCCCCAACACACACACACACATACACACACACACACACACACACACACACACAAGAAGGTTAAAATGGTAAATTTTATGCTGTGTATGTTTACACACACGCACACCCACACACCCCAGATATGAGGCACCTAGGGAGGGACTGGGGCCCTGGATGTGTCATCAGCTGCTATGCAACAGGGATAAGTCCCTGACTTCTCATTTGGATTCCCTGTCTACACATGAAAATAACTCAGAGGATACTGCAGACAAATAAATATCCAAGTGTAACTTTTTAACACCTTTTTTGTACATAGAACTCAGCACAATCAAACTCCTGCATTCCTTTCTGGTGCACAGTAATGGCCATTTGCTGTTCTGCCAACCCGGGCTGTGACTGCTCTGTTGCCACTAAGGGTGAGGAGAGACTGGCCTATGTCGGCGAGCTAAAACCGGCCCAGCCATTCAAGTGGAACCGGCAGCTGCATCCCCATGGGGTCAGCTGCCCTGTCTGAACCTCATGTGCAAGGTGCAGGAGGGATCCAGGTAAGGCCCTCACCATGGAATGATTCCTGGGCTACAGATTATCCTGGGTCAGCAATACCAGGAAGGTGACCTTGGATGCTCGTGCGCCAGCCAGGGAGAAGGGTACAGGGTGGGGTCCAGAGATACACAGAGACCAAATAACACAAGGCACATTTTAAAAAGCTTTCCAGCTGAAACTAGTGTCTGCTCTTCCTCTGAAGAAACTCCAAGTGAAAGCTTTAGGCCATTTGCCTCTGGCAGGAAATAAAGTTTATGACTTGGAAGTAGCACACTGATAAGTGGCAAAAAGTTTATTAACAGCATGTATAATGTGAACTTAGTTTTGCAAAAACCCAAAAAAACAAAAGAAAACCATATAAACACTGGGAAGCTATGTATCAAAATGTTAGTATTCTTTTTAGATGAACAGGTTAGAAAAAGTGTGGCTGTTCACCCTCTGAAAGGTGGAGCGTACCTCAGCAGACCCAAGACGGCTTTCCCAAAGGTCTCCCATCTGTTCCCAGGCCTAAACTATGGGCTCTTCACACTGGGATGGCAACGTAAACAGCAGGCACCCTACCCACTCGGGGCCAGCCACACCGGACTTGTGGGTGAAACCAACTGCTCCTCTAATGGGCGGCACATCGGAGTAGCCCAGATGAGAGGTCTAGCCTGGCCCAGAGCAGGGTGGGGACGTGGAGCAAAGCTGTGCCGCACCTGCACAAGTGTCTGCATGGTCTGTGTGGCCGGCAGACTGAGGCAGGCCCATGGGAGCACAGCTGACTGCTGAGGAGGAGGCCAGAGCTGCGCCAGGGCTCATCTTTACCTTGGGCCAGGTTCCAAAGATGCCTCAGAAATTCTCCCCTCTGCCCCTTGAAGGGTACCTGGGATCTACTACTCTTAGCCATTTGGGTGAGTGATGCTGAATTTCACTGATTTGGGGGACTTACAGGGTTCTATGGGGAAAAAAAACCTCATCAAATATTCATTAAAAAGAATTCAGGGCTTCAGGTGTAGCTTGGTGCTAAGTGCTTGCCTAGCTCTTACAAGACCCTAGATTTAATCTGCAACACAGCCAGAAACTGACAGCAAAAGCTCTTAACGTTAAATTTATGAGTCTGTGCTCATCTTAAAGTCTCTCTAGCTACAAGCTTGGTTCAAGGTCACAGACATCCAAATAGCCCCATGCTATGGGTTTTATTTCTTCTTTCAGTGAAGTTTACCGGTGTATCAGTTGGCAAGGGTTACTGTACACCACAGACTAGGTAGGTGAGACAACAGGATTTATTTTCTCAGTCTGGAGGCTGCATGGGCTCTGGGTGTCAGCAGGACTGGTTTCTCCTGA